ACCCAAAACCAACCCAAGATGAAACTTAATCAAAGTGAACGGAAAAATTCCAACTTGCACACCATCAAAAAAAAAAACTGAAATCTCTGAAATCTCAAATTCAGGAGGCAATTAGAGAGCGGGTACCTGAAATTAAAGAATGCGGGTGCATGGTGGAAGGCGAGAGGCGCGATGATTTGGAATGGGCGGATCTAGGGCACGAGAAGAAATCGCCTATTTTTGTCGTTTTTTTTTTTCTTTAATTTCCAGTCTTCCACAAGTGCATGCAATTGAATTGAGGTAATGGTTGGGTTGGTGTATCGTATTTAATATTTTATATATCTGATCTGAGAAAGAGTAGCTTTTTATTACGTTGCAGACTGTAAGAGCTGCCTGTGATTTGATGTTCCGTTAGAGACATTCTTCATAACTGGTTTGCTCCCTAACATAAAATCTATGGTGCAATCGGATGACACTCTTATAGAGTCATTCATAACTTTATGTATTTACACATGTCCAATGTATATTTATTGCACACACATTTCAATACATCATCCCCTCCCCCTATATATTAATCCAGAACGCGTTGAGCCTACGTGGCTGTTTCTGGTGCTTCAGAATCCTATGTGGTAAAATTACATGTTTCGTTATTAGGTTTGGGTAAATTTTAATTTAATTTCAAACAAAAAATAATTAGGTTCAGATTACCATAAATATGTTGATTATTTATGGCCATGTTACATGTATTAATTGCATTTTAATATCATTCTTCATTATAACTATTGAATTGTATATATATTTTAAAAGTTAATAACTTTTGTATTTTTTATCAGTTTTACATATGTAATATATCAAATTAATCTTCTTTTGATGAGCTTTGATTTAACATCCATATTGTATGTATAAAAAAAAATTATATTTATCTTTATAACAATAAAAAAATTAGTTTTAATATTAATTAGAAAAATAAAATTATTTATCAACTAATATATTTATATTTCAAGTAGTTATATGATATAAGATATAAAAACTAATATAATATAACTCATGTAAGTCATAAGTAACACATATCATTCTAAAATATATAGTAATATATTTTTTTTTAAAAAAGTAAACTAAATTTAATATAGTTTTCTCATTAATTTTAAAATTTAAGAATATTTTTTTAACAAACACTCGTGTAATACACGGGTGTTGTACTAGTTTGTGAATAACAATGAATGACCAGAGCCGGCTTTTACCATGAGCAGGGTGAGCAACTGCTCAGGGCCCCCAATTAATTGGGGCCCCATATATAAATATTAAAATATTATATATATAAATAAAAAAATATAATAATATATATTATTTATTTATTTATTGTTAATATAACTTTTACAGTTATCATATCTCTGCAAAACGGCGTTCTTTCAAAATGGAAAATTATTGTCCAACGGTTCATCTTCCTCTCCAGTCTCCCACGCCTTTAATCATTGGACTCTTCTATAATCTCCAACGGTATCAATCTCTTCGATTTCCACGCAAAATTCAATTCTGTTGTCTTTTAATTCTTCTATTCTTGATGGAAATGGCATTCCTTCAAGCCTTTCAAGCCATTGAGAAATCCAACATCAACTTTCAAATTGACAATTTCATTCAATCATTCTCTCCTAATTATTTTCGATTCTTCATTCTTTTGCTTCCCGGATTCCCCCAACATGATAGCAGCACTATAGGCTATAGAAGTCCTATTTTTTCCGGCTTTCCCAACACAACCAGGCACCAGCAAACAAGACGGCAACGACATAACCACACTGCATCAATCCTATTTTATCCTGACTTTCCCCAGCATAGCCATTAAACATGACGGCAACTGAGAGAGAGCCAAAGAGGTATGTCTAAACCTTTTTTTTTAGTTTTGATTTTTGTGGGTATAAGGACATCTTGTTTTAGTTGTATCGTTAAATATTTGTATTTTATTAATAAAAT